CTTAACAATTGGTTTCTCCAGGCCATGTTTCTAAACTGTCTCTTATACACATCTAGATGTGTATAAGAGACAGCAACACACACACACACACACACATGTTGGTCTGACTTGTTACAATGAGTCTAAACTTTAAACTTTAAACATTTCATTTCCTTTGTTGGTCCAGAGTCATGCAACAGAACTGCTGTTGTTTTGCCGGACTGACTGAACAACTCCGTCTTTGGTTGGTGGGAGTGGTGCTGCTGCATGGTTTAAATGTGCTTTGCTGTGTACGACTGGGTCGCTTTTTTGGTGCGGTGGTTGGTTTTCTTTACAGTGGGGCCAAAAAGATAGGCATCTTTCAGCAGCTTTGACAACTCAATCCAAGCGAAGGGGGCTGGCCTGCCCACGTTAACGTAGCACAGGTGGCACCATTGCAGGACGAAACTCTTATGTGAGCAGAATAAGATTGATTTCACAGTGTGGGTGTGAGTTCCTCAGGTTGTACCCTGTTTGTTGCTGAGGCAGGTAGGGAGTTGCCGTGCGTGCTCTGGCAAACAGCGCAGCCGCATTTTTTGCACAAGTGGCCTGCTGCCTTGGCCAAGCTGTGGACCACCCATCCTGTGCACTGCTGCCGAGTCTGCCGACACAATCTGTCTCAGGGGGTTCAAACTTTGCTTCAAACCTAACCCACTCCAGCTCCAGGTCCAAACTTTGATAGTAATGACTGTTGACTCAGTGTCGACTCAGTGTTGACTCAGTGTTGACCCAGTGTTGACTCAGTGTTGAGGCCACTGTTAATATTTGTGTGGTGGTGAAATTCTTCCTTGCGGCCAGATTGTAGTAGGGCCCGTTCTCGGACAGGATCTTTACAGCTCGTGATGAAAGTGCTGTCAGTGCAGCTTTGCCCGCTCACCTACTCATGGCAGTGGCTATTGCTGACATCGGACAAGACAGGTCATATGGCTGCACGATTGAATTCTTTCTTTCTTTTCTTCGGCCCCTACTACTCCCGTCTTCACCCGAATAGAACGCCAGGTCATTATAGCTGTATTTGGGCCAACTTCCAGTCTAAATACAGCGATAATGACCGGGCGTTCTATTCGGGTGAAGACGGTAGTGATTGCTGGTGACATGAGGCAGGACAGGTGATATTGCTGCACGATGGAATTTTCTTTCGTTCTGTCTGTCTTTCTGTCTGTCTTTCTTTCTTTCTTTCGTATTTTCAGACTATTTCTCAATTTCTGCATGTCATTCTTGTGCAGGGTCCATTCTAATCTTCTCTGGACGCTTCCGATCTTAATGGACGTCTCTTTCTTACCGGACGTCTCTCTCTTAACGGAAGTCTCTCTCTTAACCGATGCCTCTCTCTTGTACATCAATGAAGACCTGCTTTAAAATTCAAAAAAAATGCCCCCGTTCCAATTGTTGCAAGTTACTTTACTCATTGATATGCGGAATGTGATTCGCCGCCATGTTTGGAGCTTGCAGCTGGTCATCCCAGTGTCAGCTTTGGACTCAATCTTTCACCACTTACCGTTGTATGGTTGTAGTCTACTCCTATGCTGACAGATGGCATGTTCCGCCAATCTAAAGCTGGTGTGTTCTTGCAGACAGATGAATGGGCATAACCTGCTCAACGAAACGGGCGTAGAGAACACTGCACGTGACAAACACCAAGGCTAAGAATTATTGGCCTATCTAGTATCCACCCCATCATCGCTAGAGGGATATGGCATCCTCTACTGGCAAGCTGACATCATTCATTTCATGGAAGGGGTTCTGTTTCGGTTTCGGTGATGTCAATGTGAGACGGAATGTTTCTGTTAAACCACCACCACCTCCGAACCTTTTTTTATAACCTAGGCGGATCGCCCCTGTGCGCGCTCGAAAAAAAAAACGACCCGCCACAGCGGCAATTTCTTTTTCTTTTGGCTGGCGCAGCGAGACTTTTTGGTCCAGCTGCACTGTTCATCATCTGAAGAACCTGGATTGTCGCGTTTTCGATTATTGGCTTCACTACAAAAGGTAGTGGTGGCTTAACAAGAGAGCAGATCAAATGATATCACCCTGTCGCTGCGGACTCAAAGTCAATGCTATGATTGTCGGTCAGGAAGACGCACAGAGATTGACGGATCGAAAGAGCTAGCTAGTGAGAGACATAGTTGCACCCCTGTTAAGCAGTGTTTACATGAATCTGGTTGTAGTCTTTTCCACCTCTGTTGCTGCAAATTCGAATCTGAATCTGGGTAGCTGAGCGAAGCATTAGCAGATCGCCGTTCTTTGATCGCAAACTAAAGATTGCATCCTGGAATAGAGTTTTTTTTTTGTCCCCCGTCGAGGTGATGACTCTAGGTGGGCGACCGGAGCCTGGGAAGTTGGCGGTTGACGAGTACACACATGCCGCCATGCTATGATTGTTGCTATTGGTTGGTGGGCATGTCAGTGCTTTCAAGTTTTCAATTTTCAACCTAGGCTACCAGAGTGGCCCGGGACCACTTGTCCGGCCGGGCCAAAAAAAAAAAAAAAAACTTGTAATTTATTTTTTTATTTTATATTTGCCATATTATTTGGTAAAGAATTTCGATGTGACCCTGAGGCCAAAGTTGTTCAGTTTATTTTCCTGCATCACATAGGTTTTTTTTTTATAACTTTTTTAAA